TCTTTGCCTTGAAAATCAAGTTATGGAACATAGTAAATCATATGTCCCATAACTTGATTTTCAAGGCAAAGACCCTATATATAAACCAAGACCTTTAACAAATAGTAATACACTTCAAGAACTGATCTAACTTAAAGCCTATCCTATACATTATATTAGACCTCCTTGTTAACAGCTTTGTTTTGTTTAAAAACCCAACTTAAGAGGTCTCAATCTTAAAAAAAAGAAAAATAGATATTTTTGTTAGAAAATTTTTCTATTTAGCAATTTAAAATTTAGAAAAGGCTTTTTTTTTTTCTTTACCTAGTTCAAAAGTCATTATTAAGCCCTATGAAAAAATAGTTACAAAAATAATAAAGAAAAGTACAGATAATATATGGAATATAATCTATATATACAGAATAATAAGGTTATATAATAAATTAATACTGAATAAATATATTAAATAGATATGGAATTACTGTTGATACAGAATTAATGCTTAATTAATATATTGAATAGATATAGAATTGCTGTTGTTACAGAATTAATACTTAATTAATATATAGAATAGATAAAGAATTATTGTTGATACAAAGTTATTGTTAATATGGTAATTAATATATTGAATAGAAATTTAATTAATTTATTGAATAAATATGAAAATACTATTTATACAGAATTACTTAATTAATATATTAAATATATATAGAAATAACTATTGATATAGAATTAATACTTAATATATTAAATAGTTATTAATATATAATAAATATATTAAAAATATAAATTAATTTAATAAAATTAATACTAAACAATTTATTAGATAAAAATTTTATTCTAAAATTATATTATTTTTTTATCTAATATATAATATTCATTATTAAATTTAAAAGGTTTAATATATCTTTTAATATCCTTTATATTAATAAAATATTTATAACCAAAATAATAAAATTTTTTTAATTCAAATCAATAGTTATTTTTATTAGATATATTAGCATATTTAATATAAACAAGTATTATACTTGTTTTATTATATTTATGAACAAAATACTATAAAAAACTATTTAACTACAAGTCTTTTAGCTTTTTTATTTTATTATTTTTTTATTTTTTTTTATTTTTTTTTTATTTTTTTTTATTTTTTTTATATGTTTATAGCATACTGTATTGCTCAAATATATATATTTTTGATTTATGCATTTTCTTTTTACGTATAAGGCTTTCGTTTCCTTGTAGTTTTTCGTTAATAGTTAATGTCAATATTGTAATAAAGCTATGAATTTGATTGGCTAATAATCACGGATAGATCTACAAAAATTAACCAATCAGACGAACTTCTGCCTATGAGTATTGTTTAATTATGAAATTTATTCATCATTTATTTATTATAATTTTTAGGATTATTTTATTATTTAACAGAGTCTTTTTATACTTTAAATAATACCCTGATCACTGTATCAAGATCATGGATTATTCTGATCCGTATTTGTACAAGCGGAAACTTTGTTACCGACAATCACTTCGTAGATACCACATTTCACCGACAATTACTTACCGACAAGTTCATTTCACCGACAGTTTATTTCACCGAAGCTCATTTTACGGACAAAGTAATTCTAGTCAATATCATTAGAATTAAAGTCAAAATTAGTGTAATTTATAAAAAAAAAAAAAAACTTGTCGATGAAATGAGCTTTGGTGAAATAGACTGTCGGTAAAATGTGAATAATTGTTGGTGAAATGTGGTGTCTACGAAATGATTATCGGTGAAATAATACGGATCCATCGCGAATATTAATACTAAGGGGTTTAAATTATAAACTACAATAATGGTTTCCTGGGTTTAATTTTGATTTTTAACTCTAGACAATTAGTAATGAATCCATCATGCGTTTTCAATGGGGCTTCCATATCCATTAATTCTACATCATACTTTTTGAACATCAATGCCATAAAAGATAACATATTAATCATTGCTAATTTTTTTTCCAGGACAAATTCTTATGCCACCACCAAAAATAACTAATGAATATTTATCCTTATTACTAATAGATTTTTTATTCCCTTTATTCAAATTGCTTAAATCATCATTGAATTCATTCAAATCATTTTGAAATAAAATCTGTCCGGATCAAAAACAGTAGGATTGACCCAATATTTTTCATTCATATGAATGCTAGCATTATTTAAGTGAAATACAGTTTTGGCTGGCCATGTGTACCCAGCAACTTCGCATTCTGCACTTGCAAATCTTCTTGTTACTGGCGCCACTGGTATCATACGAGAAGCTTCTTTAATTATCGCTTCACAATACTTGAGTTTTGCAACATGATCAGCGGTTATACATAATGTGCCAGAAGAATTATTAGGAAAAACCGAATCAATTTCATCAAGCATCTTTTGTTTCACGTGTGGATTTTGGCAAATGTAATAAATTACATAACATATTGTGTTTGAAGACTGTAGAAAAAAGATGAAAATTTGTATATAAGTACATATTGACAATAAATGAATAATATAGCGATAAATATAATGGAATTGAATTAAAAAATTAAACATACTGTATCAGATCCAGCAATAAAAATGTCAAATAAAATTGTTCTGATCTCTTCATCAGTTAAAGACTCTGTCATCTTACTCTTTGCATCATCATTTGCAGTAATGAGAATAGTCAACAAATCATGTCTCGGCTTTAATTCCTGAGGAGAATTTGCCAAATCAATTCTTCTTTTTTCAATTATGTTATCCAACGTTTTTAATATGTAATTTCTATTTTCTAGATAAGCATCTACTTTTTTCTTAAAATATGGTACATAACGTCTCAATAATGGATGAACAAAATGAAAGAGTGATCCTTCTCTTATATAAGTCACGATCGCTTTGGTAAATTTATCAGAATTATATATACTTCAGGATCATCATAAAGAGAATTTTCAATTTTAGATTCATCAGAGTTGAGTATATTATAATATGATATATTGAGCACCCTCGTTCACCGGTTGCTATTATCGAAATATTATCAGCCATAAACCTATTTATCCATGGTAAAAATTTCATTTCAAACCAATCATCATTTGATGATTGAGATTTTTTAAGCAAATTCCAGTATCCATTTAACATTTCAAATAATTCATTGACACGTTTTATAGCTTCTTCATTGAAACCAGGAGTTGAAAGTGATTGTAAAAGAAAAAATACCTATTAATTTTCCTACTCTCATAATTATTATTCAAAAATATTCCTAATCCAAAATTTTTAAGTGTATCCATAGCCGGTTTATATTCATTATTCATAAATAATGCTAAATTCTTTGAAGGTGCTAATAAATTTTCATAATAATCTACGTTAGAAATAACTACTCTTCTTAAACCACCCAATCTGAATTCACAGATATCCCATACTTTTGATATAAGTCTGCAGCAAGGCGTTTGAAGTTACCATCAAAAAAGAAGTTCTATAAATAATTTGGTGAACATACTATATTATTTAAAAAAAAATTTAATCATTACCCAAGCGTAAAAAAAATACCTCTAACTCAAATGGTAATGGTAAAGGACCAGGAAGTGGATTATGACGAGTGAAATAGTTATAGTTAAAACGGAAAAGGTATAAAAGGAGCGTTGAAAAGATACTGAGCAGATAATCTACAGCATTAAGCGATTCAATAAATCGAAAAGACATTTTGCAGAATGACGAATGATGTTTCTTACATATGAATTTATAATAACTGATATATCTTTCACCAAAGCTTTTTCGTATTACTCTTGTGAAATAGATTTATGTCCTACACATTAATTTTTCTTATGTTCCATAGGTGCAACACTAGATTATCACTATGTTTACAAACTGCTGTATCACTATTTTTTTCATTGTAAAATGTACTACTCATGTGAACAGATACTTTCTGATCAAGGCCTAGGATATTTACAGGTTGAAATTTCATATTCAATATTATAATTATACGAATAAAAATTAAATTGTACTACCGTATGGAAGTGAAATGTTTAGTTTGATAGTGCAATATTGCTACAAGAAGGGATAATTAACTAGTTAACAATAGGATGCAAGAGAGTCAATTAAGTTCTATTAGGACGATATAACATAATTTGTGAACACTTAAATGAATGATAAGTTTAAAAATAATTTTTCACATACAGTATACAATTAAAATTTACATTTTATTAATAAGCTCTACTTAATATAAATCTTCTAAACCGAAAAACTAAATAACAAGCTTCAAGGATTTAGTATGGAGAAAGTTAGCTATATTTGTAGCATTGGGCATCTATTAGTATAATCCTGATGTAAATAGGTTTCATGCGTGCGCATTAAGGCATATTATTCTGAATCATACGCATTTTATCTTTCAAAATTTTATATAGAAAAATTAAATTGTTGATTATGTGACTTTTATTTACACAAAGGGAAAGAACATGGAAATTTCATTAGCTATCATTTACAGGCAATGTTAATAAATATATGATTAAAGGAATATTTACATCCTAAACTAACAAATCACACCTTATGGCCAATTACATATCTACGACTATTTAGAGAACATTCGTAACCAAATTCAAACCAACTCTAACTTATTATATCCTCGTACAGAGAGACGTAATCAAGAAGAAATTACATAGCTATAACGAGAATCGGATATATAGTATTAATCTACAATGGAATTGCTACAAAATTGTAGGTCTTTGTACTGCTGTCGCAGTTGCAGGTTCTAATCACCAAACATGAGGTTTCTAGACTGCCTATGGTACCACTGAACCTATTAGTACTAACTGATACCATTAAAATTTACTATACAAGTATCTTATAATTTCCTTAGTTTAAGAGTTTACTGAGAAACAGGCATGAGGGATGGGATGAAGAGTTAGACTTCAATACAAGACGAGAAAAGCGAAAAGAATAATAACCTTCTTTGCTAATAAAATGCCTTTAAATACTCTTGTTAACAATAAATAAATTCATCCTTCTTATGCTGCTGATTATAAGTCCAAAATTACATGCTTACTCTTTTGATTCCCTTACTTATTCTCTAATGATCATAGTAATTCATATTTCAACAATCATATGCAATCACAATATTATCAGATAAATGCTTTATCTATAGAACAAGATGCCATAATAATTATATAAAAATCTATAAAAAAAAAGGGAAATGATTTGTGTACATCGGTTTCGTGTAACTTCACGTACATCATATGGGCGGATTTGACTCCATTCGATATGTGACAAATCGAATTCTGTCACATACGATGATCAAAACAAATTATCAACCAATCAAATCGATCAAAAATTTGAATGGGATATTTAAAATTTTTGATATATTGTTTGTTGCATAGTTGCATAGTATTAGACTTTCGATAGCTAACAAATGCCAATTGTGTCAAGAAATTTTTTCTTCTCAAAAAAGGCTTGCAATTCATGAAAGATCCAAGCATCGAAACAACAAAACTGTGCCTCATCATCATTTACTTATTCAACCTCTTCTTGAACAAATCAGGTTCTATCAAGATGCTTTTATAGTTCTTATCAAAAAGCATCTTGGTTTTAATAGGCATGCAATAGGCACAAAACAAGTTTCTATTAATGCTTTTCCAGAAAATATATTTGTTTTTCTCTTTGAACATGAACCTTCTTTCCGATATAGTCCTGTACAATGAAAGTATTCATGTTTATTTCAGGGTGAGGCTGGTGAATATAGATTAAAGCAGTTAGTTGATTATGATCATTGGAATATTAAACAAGATCCAAAATTAAAAACCGTTAGTTATGTTTTATTTATGGACCATGATAGTTCCTATGATGTTAATTTTATTTGGTCACAATCAGAACTAAAAGAGAATGATCATATCTTTCAATGTGGCACCGTTACCTGTAAATTTATTGCAGACTCAAGAGAAGTTTTGAACAGTATGAATTGGGATATGGGGTTTGAAAAATGTCTGATTTTCTTTTTTTTTTTTTTTATCTCTATTTTGGATTAATTATTTGTTTTATAAGGGCCACTTTAACCCAAGCAAATCAAACTACTTCACAAAAATCAAATTCACAAGTTCATAATATTGAATCACACATGAATTCCTCGAATAATATGGAATTAACTCAAGGTCAAAGAAATTATAGGCTTATATTACCTTGTGCACCTTTTTAACAACTTAACAGATAAATCATATACACAGGTAAAAATGCATGATTTATATCTTTATTAATATAAAATTTGATTTAATAAATATATCTTTGGTTGATGTAGTCGATGTAATTAATTGAGAGGGTATTAACTACATAAGTCTATATCATTTTCTTATGCACAAGATTTTAAAAGGAATTACTGGACCTATAAGTTAACCTAAAGTTTCTTTTTTTATTTTCTTTTATTAATAATATCTATAATTCTAAAAGGACTAAGACATTTATTTATTATAATAAATCAATAGAATTAGATATAAGTATCCATTAAGATTGGTATTTTTGATACCATATTTGCGCTTGGTAATTGTTATCAATATGTAATTGATAAATATAATAAATAAAGCATTGTTTGTTATTAATAACCTACCAAGATAATAAAATAATATTGAATTTAAAAAAAAACATATCAAAGTTATACCTATTAGAATAGTAATACTGATGAAAAGTTTTTTTACCTTATAAATACTGAACTAAAATTTGATAAAACAACTATAAAGCATTATAAATATGCTAAAATGAAATAGAATATATTATGTTAGATATTGTTATAGAAAGGATGCATGCTGTCAATTCACTGAGATAGGCAATTTTGATGAAATGTTCACGTTATAACTGAATTGATATTTAAAAAATTTGGTTTTAATAAATAATAACATAACTTATATATATTATAAAATATTACACAACTTAGTACAAAATTCTTAATAATACCATTTTTTTAAATCAACTAATTTATTCAACAGATAGATTATATATGCTTAGAATTTTGTCAGTGTATTAATCTTTATAACTGGCTTATCATATAAATTTCAAAAATGTATTTTTAGTAAAATCATCTCTAATTTCATAACCACAACAAAATGTATTATTGGCTTATCATATAAATCCTAAAAATACCCGGAAGATCCAGATAACAACGGTCCTCTAACGCTTAATCTGAGGGCTTCTAAACCTTGCGGAGCCGTGCAAGCCGGGCATACAGTGATCGCTGTAGAAGACATTTCTCATATGGTTTCATCTCCAACATCATTAGCCTTCTATAAACCACAACCAATATTACTTCCCCAAAACATAATCGACCAGCCTCCTACAAATTTCAACTCTGATAACGAACTACTT